CTATATGTATAGATAAAAATTCATTATCGCAAATACACAAACAGTGCTGTATAAATGAAAAAATAACAAGCAAGCTGCCGCGATTATACGGCTGTTAAGCAGTAAACGATCACAATAACAATGTTAATGATAATGATAACAATTGAACTGTGTTCCTGAATTGATTCACCCCATCACAAGATATTGCTCCTTCATGACGAAAACTACGAGACCACCAAATAACTTTCGTTAGAATGCTCCTCATGAAAATTCATCATCAATAATCAATTTGTTCTAAACATGTTATAGTCTTACGTACGGAAACGAATTGGTCCGTGATGGTAACTTGTTGTGAAAGAGCATGAACACAGTTCAAATAATAGACCACCATTCATATGAAACAAATAATTAGACTCATCGTCAAGTAATAACTTGTATATTCAGCTTGTTCGATTAGTTGACTACTTTTTAAGGACTGCAATCCGCATCCTAAATCTTCCATCGAGAACATTTTGATCTATCGAGACTCGATCTCTAGCAGCAGACTTGAAATTACTTTCGTTTGCAGACTTTCGAACACTGTTGGTTACAGGCTGGCTTGCAGACTTTCGATGGAAGTTTCTTCTGAGAGCATTGCGATAAGCACACACCGTTGCATGATTTGTCGCATCGCTTTGTTGGTGTGGGTTGTGGCATCACTTGGGAGACCTGTGATGTCTGGGGCATCATTTGCGGAACTGACTCTTGACGAGTTGGTGTGACCATCGCTGTTGGTTGCTGTGTCTGAAACTTTGTGAACTTTCAAGTCTGCTCACATTTTATCATTTTTCAGAGATTTCTTACGAACATGATTAGTTTTTAAAGGAATTCCCTTTCCTATGGATAATACAAGACAAGACAATCGAATAATTATTCATAAGTCGAAATCAATGAGTAGAGATCTGGCTTCTTTATTTTAAACCAACCTGCTGAACGTTGAAAGTCTCAGGTCTTGGTGGCCTTTGTTGCAGTGTTTGCTGCTCGCACGATGGACAACCGGAATAGATTGGTTGTCTAACGTTAAAAGTGGAGGAGGAGGATGTTGGGGCAGTGATAGCCTCTGGGATAATTTGAACTGGATAGACTGATCCGGAACCGGCAACGTTTTGCGGAAGGCTTGTGGTGACTGGAGCGGAATTTTGCGACGAGACGGCTTGATTGCATGCTTGACTGCATTCCACCTGACACAGTTGAGCGCATTCATATGGCGTTTTATCGTCGGCAACGCACGTTTTTTGACAAGCTTAAAATAGAACCTTTCAATTGTGATGCACGCATAAAAGCTGAATATCCGTCGATTTTTTCCCTCACGGATCAATCAACTCATCGATCAAATACTTCTGTAAAGTG